GTGTGCGCTACAGCGGATCAAAGCAAGTTCGATATAACGCAGTTTCACCTATAACGCGGTAAGATTTTTTGGCTTCCGAGGACAGCATTATATCGGGGTAGAGGCGTATTTAGAGTGGGGTCAGCATACTTAAAGGGGTAATGTGCATCTCTCTCTCTCTTTCAGACGCGCGCGTGCGCGCACACACACACACACACGGTGTGTGTCTGTCATACACACATACACCCCTTGGCACTTTGGAAAGTGGAGGGAGTGGTGCGCTCCAGTGGGATAGAATGGGTTCATCATCACTGTTGTTTCTGCTGGGAATGTGTGCAGCCACTGCCATGCATCTATTGTGTCTCCTCCCTTCATTAGTGCTGCCTTGTAGAGTGTGAGGCTACATTAACAACAAGTTAACCCTTGAGGGCTCAGCCGAGTGCTAGTTCATCATTTAGCAACAAGGCATTCCCTGGAAAATATCACACCCTCTTCCATCCTCTGATTCCATATATAAATGTCTTTTGTCTGGTGAAATTTTTTTTCCTGGAACTTAAACACCCCTCCCTTGCTTTACATTAATTCTTATGGGGAAATTGGATTCGCTTAACATTGTTTCGCTTAAAGTAGCATTTTTCAGGAACGTAACTACAACGTTAAGCAAGGAGTTACTGTATAGGCAGCAGCCTCAGGGATGGTGATAGGACAGAGCATCCTAGTAGCCAGTGGAGGAGAAAACAGAAAGGGCCTCCAGGTTGCTCATCACTCAAACCCCATCAACTGAGCCAGCTACCCTGCTCTTCTTACCCATCCCACCCCATTGTGCCAACTCCCTTGCTATCCCCAGCACCCTCCTCAGATCTCTAATCCCCAAATAACTCCCTGCTCCCTGGCTGCCCCCAACAATCTGCCCACCCCCCGACACCCACATCTGTCTGTCTCACCCCCTTTCTCTTCCAGTTGACCCCCATGCTTCTTATAACCCTCCTACTGTTCCCTTATCTTGCCCACATCCCACAGCTGCCCTCTCCTGGGCTAGACATGGACCCCTCAGGCTTTCATACCCACAGAGCCACACAAGCCAACCAACGCCTAATTTCCTCCTGATGACCCTTGACCCAATTTCTTATGCACCTTTGACTCTTCAGAAGGGAGAGGCAGTGGCTTTTGTTTTCTGGGAATGTCTGTCTAACCTCCCGTCTCCCAACTTCAGGTAGGTGATACCAAACCTCTTCCTCTAGTCTCTACCCGCTCAGGAGTCAGGCCTGGCAGTGCTCCTATATACTGTACTTGTTTCAGATGCACAAGTTGCACCTTCAGGTAGTTTTAAATGAAACTCAGTTATTTCAGCATACAAGCATCTGCAAGGTCCAAACTGCATATATCCAGTCACTCTCTTCCAAAAAACAGAACAAAAGAAACAAAAAAACAAATGTATGATTATCCTTACAGACACTGAGAATTTTCTTTTGCCACATGGAAATTGAGCTGTCTGTCCACCATGATAGGCCTCAGCCCTCTAATTTTTTTAAGGATCAGGAAGTACATATTCATAGACTTGATGCCTTTCTTTTCCAGGAGGGATTGGATTTCCTGAAATTTCTTACTGTTTCTGTTGATCTCAAAGGCACTCTTGAACATAGCTCAGATGGTGAATTTGGTGGAATTTCTTTTAATTGAATTCTGTAACCTCCCTTGGTAAAGCTGAGGGACCATTTATCCAAGGTGACTAGGAACCATCTGGGATAACAAGCTTCCTATTTCCCTTCCATGAGGGATACCCTCCAAACTGGATACCAACTGGCTATTTATTCTTTACCCTTTAAAAAGCCAGAGGTTTTTGTTTCTTGGAATTAGGGATTTAGGAGACCCTTTTGGATTATCTGAAAGGGTTGATGAACACTCTGAACATGAGTGTCCTGAATACAGAGGTCTAGGTTGGCTGGTGGCTTCTGGTGAAAGGACTAGATGACAGACATGAGGGAATGAAGGATGGCTTTTGTCTCCTTCACTTTGAAGCTCTTAACTTCTCCCTCAAAAGGTGCTTACCATCATACAACAGGAACCCTAGCTTCTGCTGAACCTCTTGACAACAGAAAATATTTGTAGCCGTGTGTGTCTGCATGTTCTTGCATCCCAGTCACCAAAGACCATCTGAACCTTAGTGCCAAGTCATCTCCAAGCCAAAACAGATCATATTTTTAAATTCTGCCTGCTTTCTTTTTGGGTAGAATTCAGTGAATTTGTGAGCTGTCTTCCGTATTCTGAACTGGTATTTACCCTTGTATAACTCAATAGATTGGTGTCAAAGTGGGTGGTACTAATACAGTGTTTCATTTACCTCCTGGTGTCTCTGATATGTTCATTCAGGTCTTTTGACTTTAAGGCCTTACAAACCAATTTCTTGTCATAATTATGTGACGCACTAATAAAAGGGCAAGGGAGCTTTCAGGTGCTTTCCCAGAGATCTGCCAGGCCACAGTGACTTATAGGGTGAAATTCTGTGTGAAGTCAATGCCATTGATTTCAGTAAGGCCAGTCTTTCATCCAAAGCATTTAGGTCCAGTCACTGCAGCCTCCTTTGATACACTGAGCCAAAAGATTCACCAAACACTGGTCCTTTTAGCCTGCAGTGAATGTCACCACACATGGAGGAGTTTTTGAAGTCACTGTGATGTTTCTTCTCTTCCTTTTTAGCAGGATTTTGGAAGACATGTCTTATGTATAATTCCTTAGCCAAGTTTTAGGGAAAACTAAATTATTTTAAAGAGAAAACGTTCACATAAGAGGACTAAGGCACCAAAACTTCATTGAGTAAGTGTGAATAAGAAGTGTGTAACAATAAGCAATGTAGTCACCCAATAGAAAATAAAGAACTGATGATTGGAGATATTTGGGAGTTGCCATGGGCTGTGGTAGCATGTGACACTCTTGCAGGAGGTAATGACATTAGACTACTTTAAAATGTGAGAGTTAGGATCAGTCTGCTGCTAAGAATATGGGCCCAAGTCTGGGGTTAAATGAAATATGGTGGCTTTGGAGAAAATAAATAACTTTTCTTCTCCCTTCTTATCTGGAATGATTCTTTGGGTGTACAATCTGATAAATATATTTAAAGTGAAAAGTGTAATATTTTTAATAATGATAACTATTTCTCTACCTCATAGGGGAGTTGTGAGGATGAATACTTTAAAGACTGTGAGGTGCCCAGAAACTGTGGCAATAAGGCAATATAAGTACCTAAACCAGATAGTAAGATTACAGTACAACTTAATTTTGTATCAAGTATCAGAGGAGTAGCCGTGTTAGTATGAATCTGTAAAAAGCAACAGAGGGTCCTGTGGCACCTTTAAGACTAACAGAAGTATTGGGAGCATAAGCTTTCATGGGTAAGAACCTCACTTCTTCAGATGCAAGGCTGAAGTCATGACTTGCATCTGAAGAAGTGAGGTTCTTACCCACAAAAGCTTATGCTCCCAATACTTCTGTTAGTCTTAAAGGTGCCATAGGACCCTCTGTTGCTTTAATTTTGTATGGTATTTTTCCTACTAACAGCACCCCAAAATGTTTTACAGAGTTAATGCCTTCACTGAGTTAAATAATTAGTAACTGAGGAAGTTACTGGAAAGGGAAAATATATTTTGAGCTAGGATTAAAGTGTCACAATAATGGCAAAATTCAATAGAGATAAAGGAAAGTTGTTTCATGAGGCAGGAGTTGCAGAGAAGGTTCTTACACTACTCATGGAGAGATTGTTTGGAAG